TTTAGACATGGCATAGTTGACAAATTTTCTTAAAAAGAGACTTTTAATTGCCATACATACCTTTCTAGGAAACTCAGTGGTCTTATTACTTGACAATAATGCTTTCAAAAAAAAAGGACTGAGCGAGTATGCTCCATTTAAGGGCCCATAGGGCTATACACTACTTGCTACAGCCCAGTGGCACCCACATCAGACTGATCAACAGAATCACCTGAGGAATAGGTCTTGGGAAGGAAGGAGAGACAAGAGGGGCTTGGGAATTTTTTTTTTTTTTTAAACAAAGCTCTACAAGTAACTTAGTCAAGTTTGGGAGCCAATAGAGAGCCAACTTTTAACCCCAGAGATAAACTAAAGGCAAGATGTATATACAAAATATGTACATTTCCAAATTGTTTCTCCCCTAAACATTTGTAAAGCTATTCACAAGAAAGAAAACATTAAAATTTCAGTTTGTTACTTTTCTTCCCTTTCTTCTAGTGTAGATACTGGTCAATGAGGACATGTCCTACAAGCAATTACTAATAAGAAAGAGAAGGTCAAGAGCATAGATAATTTAGTAAGATGAATACAACCAAAAATATGAATATTTTTTCTTTTAGGTTCAAATAGCTATTCCAGTATATAATTAATCTATTCTAAAAACTTAATATCTTAAACTTCAAATATATTTAATTAAGATTTTAATGTATTTTAAGAAAATATATGTAACTAACATAACTCCTAAGATTTGTAGAGTATGCTTGAAACTGTATTTTGTTTTTGTTAGCTTTTCTTTGTTGACTGTTTATTGTGTCAGGCACTGTGCTAAACCCTTTATAAACATTCTTTCCTTTAATTCTCAGAACTCCCTTATATGAAATGGGAATTATAATTATTTACAGATGAGGAAAGTGAAAATGAGGTAACAAAACCTGCCAACACAGTTGAAGAGCAGAGATTCAAACCCAAGCTTTCTCACTCTCAATAATCGCCTAAATAGTGGTATACACAACCTTCATGAAGCTACTTCCCTCATCCCAGTTGCATCTCTAAAGCTATCAATTCTCAGAAACATCATTAACTTAGTGTTATTAAACTACCAAAATACAAAAAGAGAGAGAATCTCTGAGACTACAAATTCTCCCAAAGTATATCTTTATATTAGTCAGTGAGAACCAGAGATTAAGAAAAAATGAAACTGAAGAGTATATAAAGGGATAAGTTTTAGGTCATATTTGACCAGGAAATGAAGGTTCCAAGGAATTAAATAATTCTTACCCAATCATCATAATCAATAATCTTATTCAATGTCCACACCACACAGTATATATGCTTCATGTGATACGAAAATACCATTTAGGAGTTAAAAATTCCACTGTTACATCAAACACAAGGAATTTATAATCCCCATTTGTAAAATTTTTAGAACAATAACGATTTCAGTCATGGCCTTTATGTCAGTCTGCTCTGGAGTCAAATCCTAGTTTAAGGTTCCCTTTTACCATGGTCTTACTGTCCTTACCAAAACAGGGTTATACACCCACATTCATGCTAAGTGAACAAGGCAACCTTAATTCCTAAATCTTAATTTCTTATTATAATTTCTTAAATTCTTATTCACTTAAATCTTTGAAATTCCCAAAGATCCACTGATAAAGGTACATTTTCTCTGCCTACCAAAGAGATTGCATACATAATTCTAGGAAATAACTCTTTGATGTGCATTATTATTCCTCCCAATTTCATCCACAGCCATTTTCTTCACTAGTATTAAAAACAAAAAATTCTTACAGAAGCCACAAAAGAGTTCTAGCCACCTTTTTTCTGTCAAAGGATAGGAATAAAGCTGTGATATTATATTACTCAGTCTGTATGGATCCAGTAAGAAAAGAAGCCCTAGCCAGGAACCACAGGTCATGGTACGTAGATGAAACATGTACTCAAACAATAAAAAACTGGAGACAAAAGAAAGCAATTTAAATATCTGCAAATTTCAAGACACTTCTCCAATCATTTTTAATTTGGTACATAATATTTTAATGATCACACCAAATAGCTTTAATAAGGTAGAGCAAGATAGAATCACTCATTAAAATGAACTAAGTATATACGCAGGCATGAAATCCTACATACAACACTTTAGAAAAGGAAGCATGCAAACTTCATATCCTATCTGGCAATGGACAAGACAGAAAAAGATCTGACCAAAAACAAAGGCTGATAGGGGAAGATGCTTCACTGGCTTTAGTCTAAATTCTACAAGTATTCATGCTTCTTTCATCAGAAGTCACTGAAAAGATGTGAGAAGAGAAGACAAAAGGTTTTAGGTGCAGCCAGAGGAATCAACTAATGAAAAAGAGAATACACTTAAGAATGACATGGTGATTTACCAGTCCTTAATCTAGTAAGAAAAAGCTGGGCCAGAATGTGGAAAAAACAGGGCTAAATTGAAGAGAGATTACAAAGAAACCAGCAGCAGAGTCTGGCAACTGTGGCTGGGAGAAGCAAGGAACAGGAAAAGGAGACTGCAGCCTAGGAGAGGATGCTGGTGTTGCTGGTGGTTAGAAGAAAATTAGGGGAGGGTAAACTAGGAAGAGTTTTGTGTTTGTCATTATTCAAGTTGTGGTTAGTGGAAGAAAAAAAAAATATCTTAATTATAAACAACACAGTCTCAATTCTTTGGTTGTACAAGGGTGAGTATGTTATCACAGAAATTCAAAATGGTAACAATCATTATGTTTGGATAATAGAATTATGAAGGACTTTTTAATATTTGCCAGTATTTTTCAATATATATATATACACAAGATAATTTTATATATATAATTATAAAGTAATTTTAAAAACTTAGTGGACAGTATGTTTTAATGTTTAACATCAAACCCATACAACAAATTTGGTAATGATGTTGGTGTTTTATCCCCATGCTCAAGTTGTAAGAAATAGGGCAAATTCCTACAATTAAAAACCATTTTGATGGGGGAGAATCAGTTTCATGAAAATCATAGAATCTCATAAAAATGATACACCTAGACAGGGTTTTAGTGTTAAGTTGAAATTCCAGTTACACCAATTATTCTTATTGTGAGGAGCACCAGGTAATGTACTAAAGTGTTAAATTACCATATTCTACACCTGAAGGTAATATAACACTGTGTTAACTACGTGCAATTAAAGTAAACTTAAAAATATATTAAAAATAAAATAATTCGTTACATCACTTTTAAAACCTTGAGCAAGCTATTTAAGCTCCCTGTGTCTCAATTTCTTCATCCACAAAGATATGTACCACCTACCTTGAAATTTTCTGTGAAAACTAAGTAAGATAAACACATGTAAAATGTCTACAACCCAATCAAGGAAGTCATTGCAGTTATTACATACGTATTATCAACTTTCCAATCCTGAAATCCTCTTAAAAGTCTGACTACTCTGTGGCATGGTCCACAGACGAGCAGCACCTGAAAGCTTGCATTAAAATTCAGAACCTCGTGCTTAGACTTTCTGAATCAGAATCTGCATTTTCACAAGATCCCCAGGAAAAACAAAGTTTGAGATACCCTGTTCAAAATAACATTCAATTACTGGAATGTCCGGCTTGTTCAGATATTACCAGCTCCCTGAAGTTGTCCACTTCATCTCGGTTTCAGGGTTCTTTTTGATGCTGAGTGAAGGCCACCTGGTAGTTTACTCCTAATTCTTAATTCTGAGACACTTTTAAGAAACTGACAGAAAGTCTATTCTACTACCACTTCCAAAAAGCCACTTTTCAAAACCAAAGAGAACTCCCATGATCACCCCTCAATCTACCCACTTTGAACAAGAAATAGGGTACTGTGGTGCCTAACTCTCTTATAAAACAAGGTCTTCAATAATTTGAGATATTTTGTATTTATTAAGCTGCACAACTGTATTAACTAGATACCAGTCTATGTTTATCCATGTTGTCAATGATGTCTCCCCACAAACTTGTCAAATGCTTTACTGGAGTTTAAAAACACTGTATTTGTCCTATGTTCTTGAGACATATATCTATTAGAGGCCCTGGCAGCACAGAGTTTGAGAGGCATGGTTACCCCTGAGTAATAAAACCATTGGGATTTTGGTGCTCACATTCTAGATGGCTCACAAATCATGCCTTTAATAATTCAGTCTAGAATTTTAGCCAGCAGAGGCCTCAGTGGACAGGACTTCACACTTTCATTTTCCAACTAATTCCCCTCTTTGATATTTCATATTAATATTTTACTCTTAAGTACCTTATAATCACAGATGCCTATTCCTGTCTCTTTTCTATCCCATGATCACTGTACTGAATAAACAGGAAATGCAGAAGACAACTATCTATATGAAAAATTGTCAGGCCCAAATAGTAATTTAAGTTTCCTAATTGAGAGAAATAAAAGATGGTATGAAGTAGATATGACAAAGAAAAAATATCTGCTGGATTCTGCAGTATACTAAGAATTTGATTATCATAGAGCTCCAACAAGTTTACCCTCTATGAAGGGATTTCTTAGACTGTAGAATTTTCAACCTCCTTAGTTCTTACACAGTGGAGAAGTCCCTCATTTATTTAGCCTACCTCCCCTCTTACCTATATATACTTGCTCTTCACCCTTAAAAAGGACATGCCCTTACTTGTCCACTCATGCACTACTCCCATCTTTTCATTCATGTCCAGCTCTGCCTTAGATTCCAAACTTCCAGTGGAGAGCCCACAGGTATAGATATAATTCCCTTTGAACATCATCTAGAATAGTAACATAATTAAGCTGTAATCGCTTTATGATAGGCAGTTCAATAATAATTAAGAGCCCACAGAAAGATATGCTTATCACAAATTTTAAATCCAGTGAAGATTAAGAACAGAAAAAAGCATGTGAACTTTTTCTGCAAGAAGTTTTGTATGAACCAGCACTTTATTCTTAACTGGAAAGACCTGGGGAAAAAATAAACACCTGAATATGAAAGCTGAAATGGCCTTAAAGACAAAAAGAGGAATATATCTAGTAGGTGAAAGAAAGGAAGGCCATTTAAAAAATAAAGAATGTCATCCTTGCGCAGGGGACATGCTAATCTTCTCTGTATCGTTCCAATTTTAGTATATGAGTGGGAAACATCAGGGAGAGGGACAGAACATGAGAGACTCTTAACTCTGGGAAACGAACTAGGGGTGGTGGAAAGGGAGGTGGGCGGGGGGTGGGGGTGACTGGGTGACGGGCACTGAGGGGGGGCACTTGGGCACTTGATGGGATGAGCACTGGGTGTTATTCTATATGTTGGCAAATTGAACACCAATAAAAAATAAATTTATTAAAAAATAAAAATAAAAAATAAAGAATGTGATAAGCCAAGACTCAGGACTAGGACAGGGAGACCAAAAAAAAAAAAAAAAAGTGGTAGGTACAGAATTTTTAAATCTCTTAAGTATAAAGGACTATTTATAACCAGAATGGTACAAGACTTGCCATCCACGATGCTTCAAAGCAGGCTTCATTCTTACAAGCTTAAGAATGTCTCCACTACACATAAGGAAATCAAAATATAGCAAACTGACTAATGTGAACAAAGGGGCTGTATATTAAAAAGCTCCTCGTGACCAGTATCCACCTGTTCAGAGTACCTAAGTATTTAATAGGTAGCTCTATGAAGGAGACAAATTTAAAAAGAAAAAGTATGATAGCCAGGAAATCAGAAAGTATAAATGAAAGACTGATCCAATGAAGACTATTCAATCCACAAATCACTATTCCAGTTCTTAAAGATGAATACAGTCTTATTTTCTCCTTGTTCCCTGCGTGTACCACATGAATGTGCACTTACTGAGAACTCATCACATTATTATTCTGAGAGACAGGTATTGCCTTATCAAACAAAAATCAAACCTCCTTTCTTGAGTGTCAAAAAAGATGATGGAATTTGATAAACTGAATTTTTTAATTTTAAGGTTAACCTTTTAATTGCTGATGTTTAATGACTTGTTTCTTGTTGAATAAATCCTTGCCTACAAGGGGGGAAAAAAGATTAGTTCTAGTCACAGAACATAGTCTTAATAAATTATTCCTCTTGATTTTTTTCACATTTAGTTTTCTCCAAGCCCAATTTTTTCTAGTATTACCATATTAGACTTTTAAAGGACTTTCAAAGGACTGAGCTTCAAGTCAAGAACTTAGATCTATTTGCAGAAGTTATCATGATATAAAAAGACAAAACACCTTTCTGAGCTTCACTTACCAGCATTGAACTACATAATGCCCTCTATGACTCTTCCAAATACTATGATGATGCCATATTTATTATATTCTGGAGAGAATCATACTTCCTGGTCAGCAAAAGGTCACCCAGAGCAGACTTCAAGGCATTTTTTTCCCCATCGAGACTTTGTATGACCATAATTCTTCTCAGCTCATGTCTTTAGGGAGCCACTGATAATCAAAAGGAATTTGCCAATGAGAAGAAAAGTTTTTACCATCTGATGCCTGAGCATTTAACATTTTCATTCAAAATTCAACGTCTTCTTCCTGACTTTCATCTAACTATGCTTATTTTTACCAAATCCTTGACACGTATCTTTTACTTTGAGTCTTTGCACCTGCAACCCTAGATCCATGTTTTAGGAAGGTATTTACAGGGCAGTGGTAAGAGGCACAAAAGCTAAAGAAAAAGGAAGAGAAGCAGAAGAACGTTGTTCTAGAGCCCTTCTACTTTCTTACGTGGCTTTCCTTATCTGTAAAGGAAAAGAAAAACTACGCACTTGCCTGCCATGCCTCACATGGATGTTTCGAAATTTAAAGGAGATAAAGTATGTCAAGACACTAAGAAAAATCTCAAGTACATCTAATATATGGTATGACAATTTAGTATTACAAAAACAAAGTTTGGACTTCCATTCACCTGACTAAAAGAACATGCTAGTGCCTTTAAATGACAACACAAAATAAAAGCTAGCCAGGTTTTAACCAGAGAATAAAACTTTAAAGTCTTTAGCAAACCAAGTAGTTTTGAAGGCTAAACTCTGTGAAATAATATTCATTAAAAATTATCTTAAAAGTTACTGTCTTTTCATTCCTCTAGCTCAGCTCACTTTTAATGTAACCATCAGTAAAATATGAATGTGATAACCACAACTGTTACTTGTTTATAAGTTATATATGTTACCTTTCTAACATATTATTGACCTTACAAATTATTCATAAAAGTTGAAATTTTAAGGCATAAAAATATATAAATAAAAGTCTTCATATTTTCCCCTGAAAATTTGGAGACCACTGCTGTAAGTCAATGGTTTCAAACCTTTTTAAGCTAAAGAACTCTGTTCAAACACCAAATTTTAAAATGCAAACCTAATCTATAAGAGAAATAAATGTAGAGCTGCTCTAAATAAAATGGGAATGAGAGAACAGGAATGTGGAGTTCCATGATGAAACGCCTATGTCCCCAGAAAGCACAATTTGAAACCACTAATCTTGGGATCAGACTTTCCCTTAGTCTCTTTAAAATATAATAAAGAAAGAAAGAAAGAAAAATGTGTTTTTACTTAAGAGTGCTGTTTCCTAAGCTTGAAGTCAAAGCCGTTGTAAGATTCAACTGAATCCCTGATGTTATATTTACTGTAGAGACACTGCTGTCTACATAATTAAGTGACCAACAGGCTTTTATGGAGGAAAAGTCTCATAGACCTTATCACCAAAACATGTTATATTCCTAACTGCTATGCGTAGACTGTGAATCTGCTTTAATTTGAGACAGTATAGTATACAATGTTATGCTTTCCTAGTTGCTAGGAAGCTTGACAGTTATACTTTTGCCACGCCTCAGCAATCAGAGAGCACCTTTATTATATGCATCTCTCTACATTTTTACCTCCTGGATTAATTTTTATCTCTACTCCTTTTAGGCTTCATCTTGATTTCTTGTAGTTTCTATGCTACTAATAAACAATTATGATAAACTCCTCATACCTTTTGGGAATCACCTAAGACACAAATGATAAAACTCAACACTCAAACTCCCTACTTGGCACCATCAGCTTTGCATTCCTCCAGGACAGAAACCTTGGAATCATCTTTGGTAACTAATTTATTAATTCTAACAGTCCCTAATACCTAACAATCCAGACTTCACATTATCACTCATGTTTGTTTCCTAATCTTCATTCCCACTGCCATTACCTGTACTGCTACAACAGGTCTTCCCCTTAGCCAATCCATCTTACATGCTGCTTATAATTAATCCTTCCTAATCAGTATTAACACATATCGTACCTTTACCTTTCCAAACACCTTTTAAAGCTTTCCCACTACCTATGGAAAAGTCTAAACTCCTTAGTCATTCAACACTTCCTGAATTCTGATATCGATCAATAGTTTTGTATTTCCTATAATCAAGTTTCTCTCCAGACATATTAAACTATTTGCCCATATGCTTCATCTTCACCTCTAGGTCTTTGAACATGCTGTTTCCCTCACCTGCAGTGTTCCCTACCTAATCTCACTTCTATCCTCCTCTCAATATCTACAGTGCCAAATATTACCTTAGCTCTGAAGACAGAATGCAAATGGCATTATTTTCACAAGCTTTCATCCTCCAAATTGAAAGTCTTCTTATCTACCTCTATATTCTCACAGTAGTGTATCTAATGAATAGTAGATATTCATCTATCATTCTCAGTTTCCGTGTATGAGACCATCTCTCTACTTACACATGTATGTAAATGTATAAAAATTCTAGACCAGTGAATCTGAAGTTTTTTTTCTTTTGAAGCTTTTTCTTTTTAACTGCAAAATCCATTTTTCACTTGAAATGCTATGAGAAAGCCCAGTAAGTGAAATGGATTTTTAAAGGAGACTCTGGTTGCATGGGAGGACAGATATAGCTCAAACCTCTCCTGAACAGCCCTGCAGACATCTTCGCAAAGCACAGAGAACACTAAATTACATACCCTATGAAGACAAGTATACTTTATTTACCTGTTTCCCATGTAGGAAGGCAAGCAACATTGCAAAATCAAATATTCTTGGAGCCAAATCACAGTTGTCACTTATAAACTATGTTCTCTATGCAAATCCCTAAATCTCTCTGAACCCAAATCTTCATTTGTAAATGGAAATGGTAAAAATCTATTTCCATGTGATGACCACACAAGAAAACCTACATAAGAGTCATACTTTATAATGCATAGATACAGAAGAATTCCCATTCCCTCTTTCCACCTCTTTCTTTCCACATCATCTAGCCAAATGCCTAGCACATAGTAATTAAACAAACATTCCTTGAACAAATTAATGAACGACTGGATGGAGAGATGAATGAACAATCATCTAAACAAAAATAAAAGGACACAAGGGATTTGATAACAGGTACAGGAAAAAAGATATGCTAAAGAAATACTATATAAAGGAAAAATACTTTAAAAATTACTTTTATGGCTAGAAAAGAAAATATATTTAAAAACTGGAGACTTTTTTAAGGATTTTATTTATCTATTCATGAGAGACACGGGGAGAGAGAGAGAGAGAGAGAGAGAGAGAGAGAGAGAAGCAGAGACACAGGCAAAAGGAGGCTCCATGCAGGGAGCCTGATGTGGGACAGTGGGACTCCACCCCAGGTCCCCAGGATCAGGCCCTGGGCTGAAGGTAGCGCTAAACTGCTGAGCCACCCGGGCTGCCCCAAACTGGAGACATTTTCAATAAAAAATTTACTACCAAAGAAAGAAGCTAAGACGAAAGAATTATTTACACACATCACTTTAAGGCTTACGTGTGAATAATATATCTGGCTAATATCTAAACTCAATTTACATTCACCAGCTTAGAAATTAAACTACAGTGCACAATTATCATGCTTTTTAAAATGAATTTCACTGATTTATGTATGACTATTATAGAATAGTGTTCTGATTTTCTTTTTAAAATGTGTTTCCTTGTTTCTCAAGTTACAAATGTAAAGTTCTGCAATTGTATTTAAAATCTCTTGGAGGTAGATGTGCACAAAAGAAATACCTCAACACAAATCACTATGACACATAATGAACCCAAAAGGAATAGGCATATATCATTTAAGGCAAGATATTAAGTTTGATAAAAACAAAATCTGACCCATAATATTTTTAAAATTTGGTT